AAAAGAACGCTCAAAACTACGCGAAATTGTTCAGCAACTCTTGAGACTGGTGATTTTTTGGGTTTCCCCGAAGCCGCTTACCTTCGTGCCATCCTCATTGACAACCTCAACGCTTCCCGCTTTCACAATATACATTTCTGTACCGACGTCACCTTTTCTACACACGTAGTCCAGCGGCGAATAGACTCGTAGTTCGAGTTTCAGAATCAGTTCGTAGAGGAGATTCGGCTCACAATCCTACAAAAATTCATAACCATTTGAATTGAAACTCTCAATCGAGAAAAGAGTGTAGCAAGGAATAGGGTAACAGAGGTTATAGCGCTAATCGGAAGCAGAAATCTATAATCGGATCGATTGAGGGTAATCGGGTAATCGATACCTCGAAAAGCTTCACTCTTCTGAGCGTTTCCATGTGAATATGCACAGCCAGTTGACCGTAGAGTCGAGGTGGCAGAAATTCAGCGATTTCCTTAATTAAAAGAATTCAACGGTTTCAAGCAGTTTAGGTTTTAGGTGGAGTTACGATCAGAAGATGGGCTCAACAGATCTTAGGTAGGGGCTGTAGAAGGTGGCGGGACGAAGAAAAAACCATGAGAAATGGCGAAGTGCCCAAGAAATGGGATCCCTTCCTTGTCAACTAATCCAACCTCGATGTCATCGACGCATCCCTCTTCAACGCTAACGCTATCTCTGAAACGCCGAGAAACCTGCAACGAATGGTTAGCCAGGCGATGGGCGCACTGCACCGCGGCGAGGGCTACGGTATATCGTTGGTATAGAGTCCTCGGGAGCATATCCTTGCCGCGGGGACTGCGTGTCTTTGGAAATTTCCTTATTACATCCTATAGAAACCGATCCTTGCTGCATAAAAACCACTAGAATTTTACCTCCGCTTTTTAAAGAGCAATTCTGGAGAACCATTTGAGTTTTTTTCGCGATTTCTTTACTTCATTATTGACCACAATGTTCTACTATCTTAGAAAACGAGTCTCCCTGTCTTTCTACCAGGTACGTTTCTGTTTCTTTGACCTTTACCGTGGAATCCTTCTTTAGGCCGCTCACTCAAAAAAAACCACTATTGTCCACAACTGGTAAATAATAATGTAAGTCTTACAATTGGGAAAACGCAGTTTTCGGCAGTTCTAGCAATTTTACACGCTTTAAGGTAAAAATCTACTTGGGCTTGTAAATTTTGCGTGGGTGTCACTGATGTTCTCAGACTCTGCAAAGGAACTGAACTGTGAAGTCATCACAAAAGCTTTGTCAGTCCAACTATCCTCAATGCTTTCGACTCCTGAGCTATCAATTTGACCTTAGCGCAAAGCCATTATTTCACCAATGAGAAATTTACAATTTGTGGGGTCGTGTTTGTGTTTATTGAAACGTGTAGGTGTCGACTCCACGAAGATAGCACGGTCTGGCAGACTTCTAGGATAATTTTCTCGGGATGATCACATATCCAATAAAATTCATTATTATTATCAACTTACAATTATTGCATACGATTCTGCCTTAAACGACACACCTCCTGCTTCAAAATTTCCTCCGAAACCTTCCTCCGGCGGGCGACCAGAGAACGAGAGGGGTATACAGTCAGAAAGGCAAATTTTGCGCATTTCAGCTATTTTTTGCAATGAAAATTTCTCGCTGGGAACCTCAGACATGAGCTCATACAAAATCATGAGTACCCCTGTCTACCCCGTCTGATTTGTCCGAATAGATGGTTAGTTTAGAAAGGCCTTTTGCCGTGACCTTTCTGAACCTTTGCCGTAGAGTGTAACGTCTTGGCTCGACTCACCTCCAAGATTGAGAGGTTTCCTCTTATTTAACATTCAAATTATCGTATCTACCTGTTTCGAAAGAACGAGGTGCTTCGGATCCTTTTAGCGTTGCAGTATTACTATGCTACTATACCACTGCATTACAATGGGCGCCTGCTTCGAGCATTCCTTGAAAGAGGCAATCGCTGATTCGATAGGAGGAACAGCCAATCCCCTTCTCCACACGACACGAATCACAACTATTTTCACTTGTGAAAGGAGGTCCTACACATAAATACAAAATCGTAGCCTTGCTTGCAGGGCCGCTCACTGGGCACCAAAAAATGCATTCCCTTTTTTGTTTGGCGCAAATAGCTACACAATAACATGGTATTCTCAAAAGCATTCTCACACCTCTTCATCCATTTGACCTCCGCCATGAGACCATGTGTACGCAAAATATTCCACTGCTTTACGCTGAAGAAAACTCTGCACTTTTCTGAAAATACATCAACATAAAATCGTAGCATAAAAGCATAGCGCCAGTTGTATCGCGATTCCACGCGATTCTGCAGTATCCATTATCTTCATTCTTTTAAATTAAGATAGATGGAGAAGATGGAACGCGCTAAGAGATGGGAAAATCCCTCGTTCTCCCCTTTGGTTTGCGCCATGCGCCCGTGCGTATTTAGGTCTTGCGTGTTTTATTCTACGAGTCTAAGGCTTCCCGGAATTCTCAATTTCATCACATTCTGTGCCTTGTTCTCTTAGATTTTTGGACCATTTTTATCGGAGATTATTTTCTTTGGTCCGTTCGATGACTTTATTTGACTAAACATGTATTATCGTTTAGTTACCCAAGTTTGAGATGGTTGCGCCGTGCGCCAATAAATTGTGGAGCATTCGAAGTGTGGTTACTTTTTATTCTGTGGTACCGGTCTGTGAACCTATCATTTATCACCGCGTGGCACGAACCACTCTTTATAAGTTGTTTCCCTTACAGCACTAAATTCTTTGATTGAGAAAGAACAAATTCAGAGGCCTTTGGAACTGCGTTTTTCATACGCCCCTTTGGTGTCGGGCCACTTGATAG